TGCAAAGCAGTCCAATCTCGTTTTCATTCTAACCCTGGGGAGCTCTTCATTGTCTGCACTGAACAAGAATCAAAACTGGGTCACTGGGTTAGCGGCTGTACCACCGTTTTATTCATTACCCCTACGGCCAACCCTGTGCGCAGCGTCCCCCCCTGCTCGATGCACTAACCGGGCGTAACGTAATGAAGATGGGCATTTTCTGTGGCCGCCGCTACCGCCGATAAGAGGCACTTCTGCACTCACAAAAGCCTGCGCATGCGCAGCTCGTAACATGCTCGTGGGGCTACGCGCACGCTGACTGCACGCATAAAAAAAACGAGGGCACGTTACGATGGTACAGTGTGGCAGCGTGAATGTTCGCTTGCAACGACAGCGCATCCGGCCGCACACAGGCCCACCCGCCAGGCCCGCTCCCCACGTTAAACGGAGGCACAGCGAGACGACGCAATTAAAAAGAAAAGAAGCAACCTAACGAGAACACAGGGACTTCGACACATGGTCGAGTTAAAATTAAAACGACCTACAAAATATACCTCCAGCTCACACCCCCCCCCCACCTCCATGTTCACCCCAACTCCCTCGAGGACAGTAAATCAGTTTTGAGCAAAAAAAAAAAAAGTAATGGGCCTGATCCTACTGCCAGTCATGTACGGGGCAAACAGTCAATGACAGCCGTCTGCACTCTACAGTGATGCAGGTAGAGGTGTATGCATCCCTTGCTGGGCTCCTGGCCGTTGAGACTGTGCAAGCGAGCAGGGGTCGAGCAGGTCATCCCAGGATGTGCATCAAGCATAGGTGGCTCAGAGGCCAGAGTGCTAAGACCCTGGGGTTCATATACGAGTTTCGGCCAGCTGCGATTAAAACGGAGTTCAAGGGTAGTGAGGAGTTGATGGTCTCAGCTTGGCACCGAATCTGGTTAAATTCCAGCTGTGAACATTTAAAGTTCTGTATTGGTTTGTCACGTGACGGACCTCCCTCTTGTAAGCAGAGTAGGTGGGAAAGTGCTGCCACCTTTACTGTGTGGACCAGAGGTAAATTAAAAAAGGGATTTCAGGGGTAGCTGTTTTCTAACACGCAGGGTTGCACCGCTCTGCCAGAGATTCGAATGGATTCTCCGTCTGACGAGATGATGCCAATAACACAGTCGGGGATACAAATTTGAAGGAAAAAGACGAAAATATAGGTGCAGGCTTGCCTCTGATGCCGACTCTTGACGTGCGAAACGTAATTCGAGATCCTTCTGGGCTGATGGTTGAGCACAGGCAAAGCCAGCTGGCCATGGTGGCTGTGCACACCTGTGATGCGGTACTTTGGAAGCAACGGTTGGTCAACCATGAACAGATTTGAAACTCCCACCCACAAAAGTGGGTGGGAGATTGTTGTAGTGCAAGTGTTTTTTTTTTATCCATACGTGTGGATGCTAGAGTGTCATTTGTTTAACACGTAGGTTTATTATGAATTATGAGTGTCATTTGTTCGTACGCATGGTGGGTTTTCTCCGGGATGTCCCGATTTCCTCCCAAGATTTCAAACGCAACAATGGAGTTGGGAAAACCATTCCAATGCAGGACCACCCTAAAAAGAGTCGAATAAGGTTAGCGAAGGAAAGCAGTAATTTTCTGTGTGGAGGCATTGCCACAATCACAGGCTACAACGACGTACCTTTCAGGCAACGATCACAAAAATAAATATTGGACAAAGACCGTACGAGACGGTGCTGTACATTGAAGTTAAACATATTTGGGCTAATTCGGTGTTTGGGAATGGTTCAATATCGCACAAGCTATTTAAGGAGTCGAAATATTGCTGAGAACACCCATCTGTGTACTGCGCATACTAATTATGCAAGGGTGGAAACCCGATCATCTGCAGTCATGAGCATTTTACCATACGTGACACCATTTTTAATTGCATATTTCCCTAGCACTTCCTAATCACATGCTGGATAAATTTTCTTGCTTCGTGGCAACAGTGTCCATTAAACTGAACCCTGCGAGTGATTTTCTGTCAATTACGCCTCGCTGTCAACTGCAGTCCAAGTGTCAACCAGCCTGCCCAGCAAAGCCAAGGGATCACCAGAGGAGGAGGCATCAGCGCCAATCTGGCGACGGAGGAATATCCGAGCCGATTTAAAAACGCAATATCGGCTCTCAACACACACAAGCAGACTAGCGATCAACACCAACATGAATAGATGGAGGCATCTGCACTAGAGAGAAGTGCAGCGGTGGGGCAGCGGTGAGTGCACGGCGCCATAAACCTGGTGACTTGAGTTTAGTGCGGAGGATGGATGCCGCTGTGCGATGTGTCAGCGTGTGCTACCCGCACTTGACCAGTTTGTTTCACAACCGATTCACCACAGGCCGAACCAAATCACAGTAAGGAAGCGTTTGAATGTAGACTTTCATTTTAAAAGATTGGCCAAAAAGCCCAGCTTGTACTCCGAATAAGGATGTAAATTCTTGCAATTTTCAATTACAAAAAACTATGCCTTTTGTCAATCCACTGCTGGATGAGGCTCTTCAAACACTGTGGGTCGTGGGGGTATTTTAATCTAAACTATTTTTTTACCAGGAACGGGTTACTGAGCTCTATAGCTCTTTTTCAAAAGCGACCTGGCCACAAATGATAGCGCAACGAAGTGGCTTATCACGTGTAAATTTAAGGCAGCCAAATACTCTAAACGCTTGTTTCTAAATGTGGAGGGAAAAACCAGAAGACCCAGGAGAAAAATCCAAGCGACCACGGGGAGAACATACAAACTCCAGATGTACAGGCGTAAGGGTCGGGATCGAACCCACGACCTCCTTTTATACAAGCTGGTCAAATAACTGAAGAATAGTGTATAAAAAACCCCAGTCATTCCCATGGCAAAAAGCTACGCCCTTGGGCTTCATGTACTATTTGAACCCAGTGCTTAAGCGTTAAGTTATACACACACGTCTATGAATGATTAACAGCAGGTTGCATTATTATTACCTTTACTCTTTCCAGCCTGCACGTACATTTTTCTCCGAAGAGTTCTCCTACCATTCACAGAGTGTGGGACGATTGGCTTGGACACACATGGTCGGATGGGATGATAGCCCATGGACAAGACTGGTGGTAGAATGGCAGCCAAAGGAGAGAACGCGTCCAGAACGACGACCACCGTGGAGATGAAGCAATGACATCAATTCATGTGCGGGAGAGAGATGGATGAAAGTAGCATTGGAAAGCCAGGGCTTGCAGTGGCGTAGCGAGGCCTTGATCCAGCAGTCATGATGACGACTTGCATTGTGCTTATTGACTAAACTATTTAAATTTTACCGGGTAAGGCCCACTTGAGCTATATAGCTCTTTTTCAGAAGCGATCTGGCCACAAATGATAGCGCACATTGGCTTATCAGGTGGAAATTTCTAGCAGCCAAATACGCCAAACGCATGTTTCTAAATGTGGAGAGAAAAACCGGACACGGAGACAAATTCATGCTCCCACGGGAAGAACATGTCAACTTCAAATATACAGGTGTCGGGGTTGGGATTGAAACTACGACTTCCTGCATACTAGGTGAGGTAGTTAACATCTCGTCACCGCGGCAAGATGTTAGCCGTAACTTTCTGATCAATGTGACAAACGCAGCAGTCATTCTCATCAGTGTCAAACCCAAACACATCCTCACCGCTCATCAGCACTCGGTCTACCAGGCCGACTCGTTTCAGGTCATCGGTACAGTGTTCAACCACCACACCCACAAGTCACAGCACTTGCCCTACTTCTCCCCTTGTACTGCTCCACTTTGCAATTACCTCCAACTGTTTTCCAAAGGATCACATAATAACCCATGCTCAATAAAAAAAATTACGCTTAACAATTACACCATCAATCGTGCTGTTTTTGTTAGTGGTTGCTTAGAATTGTGGGCCTTTGTCCTGTGCTCAGCCACTGTAATTGAATATTTAAAACATTTAAAGGTGAGGTGGTAACACTCTCAGACAAAGTATGGCATATTTGAAGTCATTAAAGTTCCTAATCCAATTTGTGTCTAGGAGCCATTTTCAATATTTCACAGACTTGATTGAAACTCTCAATTTCCATTACTTGGTGTAGGGGCAGTGGGGGGTGTAGAGGGCAACACCGGTTCTAATATCACTCGGCAACGATCTCCGTGCGCACATCGAGAAATTGGACGAACGCAGCGGCCGTTTCCCCTCGGTGACAAACCAAACCAAAATACCGTGGGGCGCACCTCACCACAGCAGCTCATTCTGACGTCCAGCAGCGTGTTGCAGCACGGTTGTGCATGCTGCACTGTACCACATGCCATCCTGTGTGCAACCATAAAACAACAACAAGCCTGCGGCAAGGGCGTTCCCAGCCCAGGCGCCGTCAATCATATGGAAATGCGACGGCTTGACGGGAGAGTCGTGCGGCTCATTCACGTCAATGCCATCGCCTGGGGGCCCAATCAGGAAGCTCGCGCCAACCACGTCCGCCCTCGACCCACGGGCTCAGTGCAATTTCGTTGATTGGGAAAGGCGAAAGGTGCAGCCCTGCAAATGCTCGCTCGCAGTGCTGGTGGGAGGACCTTAACGTAAAAGCTCAAAAGCCCCCTCTCTCATGGGGTATATTTTGCCTAATCTTCCATGCACAAAACCAACCTCACTCGCACATACAAGTACGGCACAACAACGGATTTTGCTGCACAGATGTCTGCTGCACACCAAAATATCCAGCAGCCTATAACACCTGGTATGAGCACTGGTCACCCATCCAAGCATTAAGCAGGCCTTCCTCATCTCCCAAGATCTGACAAGAATGTGCACATTCGGGGTGATTTAGTAATCGGCAATGGCATCGTTACGGAGTAAAAACAATCGTTTAATCACATCAGGTCAGAGAGAATTGAAATGTGTGCTGTCATTTGGGCTGTGTATGGAACGAGGGCATCAGACTCTGGTCCCCGAGGTGGGAATGCTAGTGCGGTGGGGGGGGGCGAACAAGGCAGGTGCATCCTCACCTGGATGCATTGAGGATGTGCGACTGCTTGTTCTTCTTGGGGTTGAGCAACACCACCACACACCTGCGTGCACGGGCAGCGAGAGGGAGAGAGAGCATGAGGAGAAACGGCATTCTTTTGCCAGACACATGGGTGGGCCATCACCCGCACTGTACACGCGAACGGCACGGTGCTTTAATATGTTAGTGCGCGACATCAGCACCTCCGACCTGCTGCGCCGATTGTGATGAGTAAATGACTGACTTACGAGTGCTAATTTGTATCACACATTAAACAACAAAAGGCATAGATCCCCTGTGTAGTCTGCATAAGCGGTTGGTAAAAGTTTCTATTCGCGTGCACATGTTAGGGGAGCCGTGGCGCACCGGGGAGTGGTGTGGCCAGCGCCACGCCTTGCCGCATTGGTCTCCCCATCGCTGATGTTTGCACACTGCAGCAGGTACTCAATTAAGATGGTCAACCTCGGTGAAGGGACCAGGAAAAATGTTGATATCACATGTCACTGATGTTAGCCGTGCACGTGAATCAAACTCAGGTTGTCAGGCTCGTAGGGCAGTGCGCTAACCACCACACCGCACTCCACATAATAACAATAAACATCACAGCAGGTAACCAGGCGACACCAGCTGATGGGCTCCTAGGACCAATGTAGTCGAAAGCAAATCTGACCGAGATGCTGATGAGCACCAAAAATGACAAAGCATGAGTGCACAGCGGTGTATTCACTGCCGAGCCAAGCACTGCATGAGCATCCGAGTGATGTGGGCATGTTCGAGTGCACTTGATATGAATCCGCTACGCAAGATAGCACGCTCAACCAGGTCCTTCCCACAAGGCATACGCAAACACGCGTGCGCAAACACGCGTTTAAACTGCACGCGCATAGAAACAAAAAGGGCACAAGGACGTATTGTGCAACTTTTTTTTTGTCAGGAAACTCAACACCTGCATGAACAGCACCAGGCACCACGTTCATACAAAAGTGATGCCAGCGCATCCCCAGCACGGCTGCATGCGATGAAACACGCAGACAGAGCCCAATGGTGGCGCCGCCGCCGCTCGCCCACTGTCATGCGCAGGCCACGGTCGCCCCATAGGCATTTATCTCGAAGCCCGCCACTTATCGCCGTCAGAGGAGGGTGAACCTTGGTGTCGCGCGGATTAGCGTGCGTGTCTTGCAAAATCTTGCACCCAACAGAGCCCGCCAAGTGCCCAAGGATATGGCTCTCTTGCTATGGCGCCAGCGGGTTTACCCCAAGGGGGAGGACGCCGCCTGGGCTTTGGGGAGGACAAGTACAGGCACCAGGCTAAAGCCTCGCTCGGTTTCTGTTCATACTTTCACAAAAAATTGGATTCCCCCATAATTTTGCCAGGGGGTCAATGCGGAGGGAGCAAATTTTCAGATCATCAGGGATGCCCACATTAAAGTGACCATGCAGTGGTAGAAGGTGCAAAGGATGCCAGACCGCAAGGGCCACCCTCTGTCTGCATGGCCCCATGTGACCAACTCGACCAAGCAAAAAAGTGCAGCAGATTCGGTATCTTTGAAAATTATTTTCAGAAAAAATATTTGGCAGCGATTGGAAATCATGCATGGCCAGCAAACAGGCCAGGGGTGGCAAACATACTACCTCATTGGCCACATGCAATCCACAACTTCATTTCATAGGGCCCACAGCGACAAAATGCTTCCTACTCCAAAATGGCATGCGATATATACGTATTTATCACTGCAAGCATCTTAGCCGCACTAATTGGATACCAGAGGGAAATGTATTTTTTTATTTTTTGTTCACTTTATTTTTATTATTATGTTTCTATCTAGGTGAATTTACCAAAATAACCAAAGAATATGAAGAGGGAAATGTTTTTGACTTTATAAAACCGTGAATATAGATGAGCTGCACCCAATCACTTGTCACTGCAATGGCCTCTTGGAATGACAGAAGTGATTGAAGTGTGTGTTAATGTGTAGTTGTCGTTACCCGCCAAAGGTATTTGAGGGTCTTCAGTCACAAACAGGTTTCCCACCTCTGGACTAAGCCAAGGGGATGGCTAAGGACAAGACCACCCGAACCTATCGGTTTTTATTCTAAGCAAAGTGCTGAGCTGTTTCAATGCGAGGCGCCGTAGTTAATTTAAACGCAGCGTAACGTTCCACGCTTTGACCTCACTTCCCCTACCCACTCTGAGCATCTTGTATTACGCCTTCGCGGTGTCTGCAGCAGCGTTGGCTGAGCAGACAAGCGGAGGAGCCAATGCACTAAGCACAAACAGCTTACGTCGCACTATTTATACGGCTTCATTAATTATAGAGCGGCGCTCGAACCGATTTCACGTCTGGCACTTCTTATTAAAGATGAAGTAAAATTGCTCCCCATTCTATTCAACACACACACACATAAAAAAATCTATCAAAAATAAGTTTTATATTTGTTAATGTCATTACTAAAGCATGCCTTCTCACAAAGATAACAGAAACAAAATTTTCACGAACAAGCACAACCCTTTTTTCAATCCGCTGCTGAATACTGTGTGGACCATGGCGGTTATTTGACCATACCCAAGCACACCAATCGGTGCAATGGGTTTGTGAAGACAGCACAACAATAAATGTTGCTGCACCGCTCTCTGCTGCCCGCTGCATAGCCCCAAAGCGGCCCATCATTTGTTTTTTTATACGTGGCCGTTGCCCGTGCAAGCACACTACCCAGGCCCCATCCTGCTTAGCTTCCGAAATCCGACGAGAATCAGGCTTGTTCTGGTACGATTTGGTCGCACACTTGACGGCTAAAACGTTATTCATAAATAATCCAACTGACCAGATGATAGCAATCTTTGCCTTTGACCTATTTCTGTTGTGGAGGCCATTTTAACAGCAGTGACAAAATCACTGTTCTGGTTTGCAACACGAGAGTCACAAATTGGTGGTTACGATTGGCTCGTTGGGACGCACCCAGGCACACTTGCTGTGACAAGAGCGCGCGCGAGCCGGACACTAAAAGACACTAACGGCCCTGATTCAGGTTTTGGCAGCCTCGTGCACAGCTGTCATCATCAATCAGTCGCACGGGCAAGAGGCCACTTCCTGTCGTCCCAGACAACCCTCTAAATTGCCACGAAGAGCCTGGTACACAAATCCCCCTTTTGTTTTCTCGCGTGATCACTCGTTCCATTTGTCCGTCGCCAATTTACATATCTTCACGGTTCACATCGGGTGGCCGAATGCAGCCGAGGCCGTGTGAGCCGGGCGGTTTCGTCTGCCTGGGTGCGCAGGTGCCTCTGATGCGAAGATTTTCCTTCATTAACGCAATCTGCGGGAGTGCAAAAAGCAGCACATGCTTGTGCTCGCGCACAAGTTATCGAGGACGGGGGGGGGGTGAGCGTGGGTGTCCAGACAGCTGCGGTTCGGGAGAAAAAAATCAAGCCAATTACACCAATGGAATACCCGCAATCAACCCAATAATGTTGAAACATGCTCAACCTGTGGATCACATGGAGGGCGGTGGTAAGCTTGCAGTTCCAGGTTTGAAGAAGCAACTCGGCCTTAATTTTGGCAGGCTCGGGTGATATCTCAATCTTATCATGACCACTGATGCTAACGTACATCGCCATCGCTGCCTGCCTTCCTTCTGCTGAATCTTCGGTTCTCGACTCCAGTCCTCACGATCCACCTTGGGTTCGCCTTTTCATGATTAGCAATCTTCTCCATTCATATGCAAATCAATACACTGCACTGCATGCACCTGATGGTTGTAAATAACAGCGAGCAGCACCATGAGAGGTAATGTAGCTAAAACGCAGCAGTTTACAACGAGCCATGGATATGCTTTCAAGCAAGGAAGTATTTAAACTTGGTCCGAAGCTTTCGTGACTGCAGGAATTAATCTTTGTTTTTTATCGGTAAAGTCACGTATAAATAAGAAATAATAAAATAACATAATAGCGTACGACGTTTCGGTTGCAACACAAGCAGCCATCATCAGGTACAGAACAGCTAAATTTAAGAGAGAGGATTTGTTTCTCTGTGCTGTCTCTGCCTGTGTATAGGTCTTGGTGCTTCCGAATGTTTGCTGCTGTTCTCCACTTTGCTCTATGCATACCTCATGCTAAAATGTCCCATTGTCTCTCAGCCTTGCCTTCTCTGCCTATTTAAGGCGACTTCACTGTGTGCTTGTACCTGTGCTGGTCCGCTCTACTTGAATGTCTATGTGTGTGTGTGCCGTCTGTATCTTAAATTTCATAATTAACTTGCAATTTAGCAATCTTTGAAATAACGTAATCAACCAGGCTATGCGTTAATTGTGTTTTGACCGACCGTCTGTGTTGCTTTATATGGTTTCCAAATTCTGCTAAACTGTCTGTTTAGTATGCTTCTCTCTCTGTGTCCCCTATTGTGTCGGTGTTAGTTCCCCCTACTTGGGTGTCTGTGTATACATCTGGGGTTATGTGTTTCCCCTCTCTCTTAAATTTAGCTCTTCTGTACCTGATGACGGCTGCTTGTGTTGCAACCGAAACATCGTACGCTATGTTATTTTATTATTTCTTATTTATATGTGACTTTACCGAAAAAAACAAAGATTAAGGAAGTATTTATCAAGTTATGACCAAGAGTTATACGGGATAATTCTATCGATGCCGCCACACTTTGTTATTGCTTCCTTCCGCTGGATCCCATAGTTGTTGCAAAGTCAACACAGCAGCACCTTCAAGGTTTACTCTTACAGCATCCCACCATCTGGCTCTTGATCTTCACCTTGGGTCACTGACCTCTGGGTGCCACTCCAATGCCTGTGTCGTTAACAACGCCCACCTCCATCCTTCATGCCTGTCCCACCCATCACAACCTCCTATTCACGATGCAATGTACAAAATATGTTGTTGCCACATTCTGCTTACCCTATCCTTCCGTGAAATTCTAGCATCCTCCTGTGAAGATGGCTTAACTGATATCTGCTGGTAGCAGCTTCATCATCAGCACTTTCACATACTCATAGACCTCAGACTCACAAAGAGACCCATAGACTCACACAGAAGTATAATGAGAAACTGGAATGTGCTGG